TGTAGCTGTATTTAACACCTTTTCTGGTATCTCACCTTATCCCTATAGCTAACTGAATCTCTGCTTACCACTAGAGGGGGCTCAACTACCACAGAGGGTCCATGTACCATAGTTTGAAAAACAGGGATCTGTGGTTTTTGAGAGGGGCCATTGTGTTGTTATGTAGTTTTTATGTTGTCACAGTACTGTATTTTCCGCACTATAAGGCGCACTTAAAAGCCTTTAATTTTCTCAAAAATCGACAGTGCGCCTTATAACCCGGTATTATTTATGGTTGCGCTTACTGAGCTGAAACCGATTTTATAAAGCCAAACCACACAGCGCCTCACACGATAGCACACAACTGGAACACACTGGGAGCCAACAGTGACGTTTAACAGTTAAACTTTAACTCTGTTATCACAATTAGAAGATGCTCAGCAACAATTATTACATTATGGTTGTGTAACCCAAATCCATGCAACGTCACGTTGTGCCTCCCAACACCCGGAGACTCAGCGTTGTGTTTTGGTATTGTTGATGTATGGTGCGATGCAGGACAACTCAGACGCATGGCTGACGATTTTTTCGTGGTCAAGAACTCTTTTTATTTCTCCTTTTTTATCGATACAGGAAAAACACAAACTCTCTCTGCAAAGCAACATCCGTACTTCTGCACGGAACAGCGTCAAAACAATAAGGTGACCATCCAGAACAAAAATAGTGACAACCGCCTGACTCTGGAACGACAACAACAGCGCCCTCCAGTGTCCAACTTAGGTCACTACCCTTTTTCATAAATCTCCATCCCTATTGATCTGCGACTCCATGCGTGCCCATCTTACCGATATTGTCAAAACCCAAGTGAAGCAAACTACTTCGGGGCTTGCCATCATTCCGGGTGGATTAACCACAGAATTCCAACCGCTAAATATTTAAAGTTTAAAGTTAAATTGCGAGCTGCGTGGGAGCATTGGATGACAGAAGGCGAACACACATCCACCAAGACAGGGAGGCAACGCCGGGCGAGTTACGCCACTATCTGCTAACAGATCGTGGATGCCTGGGCTAAGGTATCAGTCTCAAATGTTGTCCGAGCTTTCACGAAGGCCAGAATCATCACTGAACAACTAATTAACAGCAACGAGACTGACTCGGATAATGACGAGAGGGATCCAGACATGCTTGATTGACTGTTTTATTTTGCTTAATTTGCCTTATAACCCGATGCACCTTATGTACTGTATGAAAACAGACCCGTTCATTGATATTGCGCCTTATAATGCGGTGCGCCTTATGGTCCGAAAACTACGCTAGGTCAGTCATGTTTGCTTAAAATAAATGAAAAGCGGACTATTTGTCAAATACACTGTACTCCATTCCTCTTGTATTTACCTATGGATTATTTTTCCCTCTTTTCTTGTTAGCGGTGCAGTTTGTCTCAACAACAGTCAAACGAATCCTCCCGAGTCACCAGATATCGACTGGTATGTTACAGTTTAAATCAAATTTGATTGTATTGTGTAATTGTGTTCATTATTAATGATACAATAAAAAAAGATGAAGAGAGAGAGATGAAATGTTGGGTGAAGACAACCTTTGTCACGACCTTGACAGGAAGCTGATTTTCTGGGTGAACAGACGGGAGCCTGTATGGGCGATACAGGTAAGCGTTATACAGTGGTATGAAAAAGTTTGGGCACCCCTGATCATTTTCAAGATTTTCCTTTAAGTATCATTGGTTGTTCGGAACAGCAATTTCAATTAAATATATCATATAGCAAACAAACAATGATATTTAAGAAGTGAAATGAAGTTTATAGGATTTACAGAAAGTGTGCAATAATTACTTAAACAAAAGTAGGCATGTGCATAAATTTGGGCACCCCAACAGAAAAATTACATCAATATTTAGTAGATCCTCCTTTTTGCAGAAATAACAGCCTCTAAATGCTTCCAATAGCTTCCAATGAGGGTCTGGATTCTGGTTGAAGGTATTTTTGACCATTCTTCTTTACAAAACATCTCCAGTTCAGTCAGGTTTGATGGTTTTCGAGCATGGACAGCCCGCTTTAAAACACACCACAGATTTTCAATGATATTCAGGTCTGGGGACTGAGATGGCCATTCCAGAACGTTGTACTTGTTCCTCTGCATGAATGCTTTGGTAGAATTTGAGCGGTGTTTAGG